GGGCAAAATCTGTCTTAAGGAGATTTGCCTTGACATACCTCGCTTCATTTTCTATTTTTATTACCTATTATTTTCTTTGTTCTTTTGATTGCGGTAGTCGAATTTCCGACAATAAAATTTGTTATCATCGGGGATAGAATTTGTTTCAATAGTCAAAAAAAAAAAAAGCCCAAAAATATTCTACAAGTAAATCCAAATTTTTTCCTAACTTTTTAACCACACATTCTCCTAAAATCACTATTCAAAATATCATTTTTCCCAAATAACGATTGTCAAACGAGGCTTAGATTGTTTGATGGAAACATCCATGCTTCTTGAAATTTTGTATTTTTTTTATTTAGCTGTTACTTGATCAAATGGGTCATGCTTGTGAGATCTCTCGAGTGATCCTAAGATAGAATTATGTGGGCTCAACACTTCAATCTTCACTTTTAATTTCAAATAAACAGTGGATTGCTACAAAAAAAGTTACAGAAAAAGAAAAATATCTCTCTACCAGGGTTAATAAAAAATTAAATCAATAAAGAGTCGATTGTCAAAGTCGAAGCTCAACAACAAAATACGGTGTAATTGCAGTATTCATTTTAAAATAATACCATCTGTAATTTTACCGGAAGAAACAAAAGTGGTTGATTTAAAGTACAAATATCTGCAAAAGAATGAATATTAAAATCTGCAGAAGTAACAACTTGGCACATTTCTATTAGGTGCAAAAGAGCCTGGTGTCACTAGATTGTGACTTGCAACCTTTTGAAAAAAAAATGTTATTGAAGATAAGCCTTGTTTCACCCACATTATATTTTTCATTTTCATCCTTCTATTCGTTTTCAATCATATATTTTTCAATAAAATAATATTTTTCATCACATTTATAAATTTTTCTTCATTTTTAACCACATTTCCCATCACATCAATTTAAAAAAATATATTCTCTCATTTTAATATTCACCAAACAGGCTGTAATTTCTAAAATTTCAATTGATAGCATATTTTTATTTTTGTCAATTTAAACCTCGAGTCCTCACTTGATAATTAAGTGAAATTGCTTATTCAAATTCGTTACATGGTTTAACGGATGATCTCTTTAATAATGAAAATTTTGTTGGTATAGCGACAATTTATTAGTAAAGTTAGAGCTATAAAATCGAGGTGTAAAAATTATGAATCTAACCTAGTACAAATGCAAACTCGCTTTGAGTTTGTTTGGCTCATTTTTAAAAAAAAAAAAAAAAAAAACACTCAAGTCACTTTTTATTTGATCATTTCGAAGGAAACACAAGTACTAAAACTTTTTTATAACTTGTTTTATATATTTAATTCAAACTTATTTATAAACGTGTGTTATAAAACAAAATGGTAATAAAAATTTGTATATTTTACTAAACGCTAAGCTCACTTGAGTTCTCATTTTTCTCACCAATTAACCCTTGCTAAGAATGGTATGAGCATGTGTACCATATTTAGCTATGAAACTTGTTCGTATCAAATTTAGTTTAATTTTTTCCGAGTTTAATTAAAATAATATTATAGACTGTGCCAACCAGACCCACTCTGCATTTCTAACTCATTACTTAGAGCACGATTATCACACTGACTCTTATTTGATATTTGAAAATTTTCAAAAACCAAAACTTTGGACTTGTAGACTCTCCATATTTGAATGTCGAATTTCAGTGAAAATAAGTAAGGTAGGTAGCATATGCCGTTCAATATTCGCGCTTGTGACATTTTATTTATCGTTACATATAAATGTTCTATTTTTTCTGTCAGTTTTTCTTTGTTTGGTGAGAATTAATCGGATTTTTTAGTAGAGTTTGATAAAAATTAATGAAATATGTGGTTGAAAAATTGTGAATTTTATAAAATGTGTGATTAAAAATAATTGTTGATTTTAACTCAAATTAAAATTACCAGACATGACAAAATACTAGAGTTATTACAGACCACAGAAAAGTGTCAATGATAGGATCAAAATGGGATTCTGTTAATCTTCTGGTCAATGATTATCTAAATTGTGTTCATACGGAATAAATAAAATTCACTACCATTAGACAAATTTGTTCGACAATTAAGTGTGGGCCCCCACCTCCCATTGCTGATTGTCCAATTAATATATTTTATTTTATTTTATGGGGTTCCTGCCAACAACACGCTTGTCTTAAATTTTTAAGGCATATCCCAATT